GATTTCTTCTTGTTAAAATAAGTATAAAGAATAGCAATGACAAGAACAAAAACAAATTAATTTTAATCATTTTCTGTTGATAGTAGAGCCAAATCAAAAAGCATTTACTGTCCCATGGGGGATCGCAAATAGTTCTTGATAAACCTTAGTTTTGAAAAGCTCCACTCACATGAAGCCACAGACACGGAGATCGTAAGAAACATTTGAAGGTTTATTAAGAGTATTGAAAGCGATTCTATGAAGTCCCATTCAGCTATGAATTTCAAAGATCAAATACTGACCAGTCCTTGAATTTGTGAAATTCTATATCAGCTGCCTTTAGGTGTCTTCTAAGCCTTGGTATTTCTTTTAAAAGTTCATCTTCTGATAACTCATCATAGAAAGAGGTTAATTTTGGAACGAACCCCAATAAGTCTTCTTCACTCGCTCAACACTTGGGTTGAACAGCCCAAAAGATATCTGCTACTTCCTTGATCGCTGGTCATCTGACCTGTGGTTCAGAAGAAAAGCGATCAATGCACTCCAGCATCTCCCTACTGTTTTCTTCTCTCACGGAGAGAGAGTCCAGTATCTGAAAGAGCTGGTGACGCCTTATGTACCAACTAGAGAGCTCCGCTCATTCGATAGTGGCAAACTCTCGACACCACATGTTTGCCTTGAGACTTACGGAAAGCGCACTTTCGCATTTGCTGGTCCAACAATTTGGAACGCCCTCCTGTCGACCTCAGAAACAACCAGACACTGGAGTCCTTTAAAACCGATTTAAAGACACATCTATTTCGCAAACACCTTCTGGGATGATTGTCAACCTTATTTTCCAGTTAATGCATAATGGCTGTGTTGCTTCGGGTTGAAATGGCTAGAAAGACTTTGCCATTGTGTGCTTGTAATTAGTTTTTGTAGTGTTGCGTTTGTTTTGAATGTGGTAAATTATAGAATTGTTTTTTTTGTTGACTTTGTACCGCGCTTCGAGCCTTTGGGGATGAAGCGTGTTTTTTAAATGAACTTTATTATTATTATTATCTATTGATTGTTGTCCTGCATTTCTTTTCTTAAACCTTAATCGTCTCCCTACTGAAATTCTTAACTTGCTTTGTGCTGTGTGACAATGGTGATCAAATATTTAAGAGGCCGAGCTAGTAACGAATCTGAGAAAATATTAATTTTTGAGTATTTCTGGGTTTCGATATAATTGTTGTTGTTTTTTTTAATTAATTTAAATAAATTCATAATAATTAATTAAAAGATATAAGAAAATTGTGTAAAATATTATTTTGATAACCCTATAAATGGATAAAAATATTTTTTTTAAAATGTGTTTCATTTTTACCAATTCGATTCATGTACTTTGAATCGCCCGACCACATCGTATTTGATATCAAGGGAATGCATTATTCCTCAGGCTTTAGATCTATATATAGCTTTCTGTCGCTTAGGAAAATTACCAAACACTTCAATTGGTGTTGAATCATGGTCAAGACAGTGTTTTTATAACCTAATTGTAGGCTGAACTCATTTCTGGCGCATTAAACTTATATTTTTGATAAATCTCGCATTTGAATTGGTTACATGGGTGGAAAATTGACATGTGAACTGTTATTCTTTTATGAAATTCGGTTATACCTAGCACTGTAAATATGCAATTTGTTAACTTGGTGTCAATCCCTGGGGCAGGTGTCATCCGGTGTGGTCCGCAACCCCTGAATCTCCTTAGTTACGCCACTGATTAAACGGTTGTTTATTAGGGGTGATTAAAAATAATCTTCGAGTTTTTCTTGAGGGATATGTGAACGTATACACCAAAGATTTTTTTCAGAACTTTCAAAACGGAACGAGATAATAAAACAGAATGTGATAACAAAAGAAAATGTGATAATAAAACAGAATGTGATAATTAAACAAAATGTGATTAATAAAACAGAATGTGATAATAAAACAGAATATGATAATAAAACAAAATGTGATAATAAAAGAAAATATAATAATAAAACAGAATGTGATAATAAAACAGAATGTGATAATAAAACAAAATGTGATTATAAAACAGAATATGATAATAAAACAAAATGTAATAATAAAACAAAATGTGATAATAAAAAAGGATGTGATAATAAAACAGAATGTGATAATAAAACAGAATGTGATAATAAAACAAAATGTTATAATAAAACAGGATGTGGTAATAAAACAAAATGTTATAATACAACAGGATGTGATAATAAAACAAAATGTTATAATACAACAGGATGTGATAATAAAACAAAATGTTATAATACAACAGGATGTGATAATAAAACAAAATGTTATAATACAACAGGGTGTGATAATAAAACAGAATGTGATAATAAAACAGGATGTGATCATAAAACAAAATGTGATAATAGGTCGTGGTCACAACTTTCTGTTTTCTGGAATGTTATGAACGAGAAAAGTTATTTAAAATAATAGAAACCCCCAAAACTGCATTGAAAAAAAGACCAAAAAACCAGGCACATCAACAAGGGAAACATTTTTTTTTTAAAGTACAACAGTAAAATGACGGTTTCATTTTGTCATTGATATTTATTGAGATTTCAAGAACGCCATCACCACGAACCACAAGAAGAACCACAAGAAGAACCACACAAGTTCTGAAAGAGAAAACCGAAAATTTGTTTTTGATCGTATTCGTCCTTGCCATGTTGTTATAAGAAATTTCTTTTTTGGTCAACGAAACTGGTGGTGTTGTTGTGTAAGTGAACCAGGTCCCCACCGACTAAAGGAGTTGGAAGCCTGGTGATAGACACGGCAAGATCTACAGCACTTTGTCCAAGGAAAAAAAAAGGGGGGGGGGCGCATTATCCCGTGAGAGATAGTTTAAGATCTGAGGAAAGGCATCGGTACATTGGCGTTCTTCGACCTGTAAAGGAGTTGGAAGCCTGGTGATAGACACGGCAAGATCTACAGCACTTTGTCCAAGGAAAAAAAAAGGGGGGGGGGGCGCATTATCCCGTGAGAGATAGTTTAAGATCTGAGGAAAGGCATCGGTACATTGGCGTTCTTCGACCTGGTGTGTACTGCGATAAATCCTGACGAAAACATCCAATGTGGTAAGACATAGTACTGAATTGGGGGGGTGGGGGGTGGGGGGTATAAGCTCATGTCCCGAATGTTTGTTTGAAGTAAGTTCTAGTTGGGAAAAAAAAAAGGGGGGGGGGGGTTACTGCGATAAAATAAATAAATGGAAGACTTAAACAAAACAGTTGTCAACTTGACCAAAATGACGTATGCAAGACAAGGTGTGCTGTTGGGTTCACTACCGATAGGACTGTCAAAGGGGTGCCCGATTACACCCCCGTGCACCGAGGCCAACTCACCCGGGAAAATGGGGTGCGCTATTTAAATTAAAATAAAACATAAATCATGGTGTCATAGTGGTTTGGTGAAATATTTTTAAGGTGTCATTATATGATAGTTTTATGACCTTATGGTGTTATAGTGCCGTGGTGAAATAGTTTAATAGTGTCATGGTGCCACAGTCTTATAGTTTTACGGTGTCATCGTTTTATGGTGACATGGTGTCATGGTGAAATAATTTGATGTCGTCCTAGTTTTATGGTTGCAAAGTGTTACAGCCTTCTGGCGTCATAGGCTTAACGCTATACCTTTCTGTTTGTCATAGTGTCATTGTGACATGGTTGAATGGTGGCATTCTGTCATAGCTTACCGCTATACCTTTCTGTTTATCATAGTGTCATTGTAACATGGTTGAATGGTGTCATGGTGTCATAGCTTACCTTTGCACTCAGATTGAATCGTTTTGCAGGCATTCGTCGCCCTTCGGTCTTCTGCATCTTTATCTGGAGGAAAAGAAACCAATCACCTGTTTACAAAGCATTTTATCTAGTCGAGTTAGTGGAAGAGCACAACAACTCAAAATGTACACTTAAGAAGATAGCTTCCTGAATTGTACAGAAGAAGTGTTGTGTTAGGATGTACGGTATCCATTTTACGAGTTTCAATCTGACACCAAGTCTGTTAGTCAGACACATTGTGTGACGAGTGACTTCAAATATCACTTCATCAACGACATCAGTTAATCTAATCAAGTTTGACATCAAGCGAAACTTGTTCAGTCATTTCACACACCGCTCACACAATGTAACTGACATCAATTAAAGCTATTGAGAACACCACTGACTCTGACATCAATTAAACCTCTTCAGAACATCATTGAGAATCGGCTAAACTAGCAAGGGCCTTAACTCAACATATTCAAAGAGACCAATTTAAAATTAGATAAAAGGATCAGCTGAAATCGATCCGTGAGACTAATCAAACGTTGATCAAAATCATCAACTGAACTCTGATTAAAGACATCAGATGGAGAAAACTTGGTCTCAGTGTAATAATCCCAGTAGATGGACACAAACAACGACGCACCCCTGCATCTGCTTTGTGCCACGTGTGTTAAGAGAAGGGATGGTCGGTGGCCCGTGTGGTAAGAGATCATACATTACCTTTGCGGACCACGAGTTTCGAAGTGATGGTCGGTGGCCCGTGTGGTAAGGGATCAGACATTACCTTTGCGGACCACGAGTGTCGAAGTGATGGTCGGTGGCCCGTGTGGTAAGGGATCAGACATTATCTTTGCGGACCACGAGTGTCGAAGTGATGGTCGGTGGCCCGTGTGGTAAGGGATCAGACATTACCTTTGCGGACCACGAGTGTCGAAGTGATGGTCGGTGGCCCGTGTGGTAAGGGATCAGACATTACCTTTGCGGACCACGAGTGTCGAAGTGATGGTCGGCGGCCCGTGTGGTAAGGGATCAGACATTACCTTTGCGGACCACGAGTGTCGAAGTGATGGTCGGTGGCCGGTGTGGTAAGGGATCAGACATTACCTTTGCGGACCACGAGTGTCGAAGTGATGGTCGGTGGCCCGTGTGGTAAGGGATCAGACATTACCTTTGCGGACCACGAGTGTCGAAGTGATGGTCGGCGGCCGGTGTGGTAAGGGATCAGACATTACCTTTGCGGACCACAAGTGTCGAATTGATGGTCCTCTCACAGTCACCGCCTCTCTCCTCGACGTTCACATGATACGACAGGCCGATGCCGGCCGACGTCACGCTGATGGAGTGCTTGAGGCAATCGACGGGGGACTCGAACAGCTCCCCGTTGAACGACGCCCGTATGTGGGGGCGCACCATGTTGATGGTGCACAGGATGACGTAGTTGGATCGGTTAGGTTTCAGGGGCAGGACGCCCTCACGCAGGCTGACGTCTTGGCTGTTGACGGTCAGAGTCATGTATTCTTTCTCTGAAACACACACACATGAAAATGAGCTTAATTATTTGAGAATTTGGCACAGGAGAAATCATTATAAAAACATTTCAAGAACGAAAACAAAAATGTAGATGCTTTTAAATACAATCTGACACGAATGCCTGGTAGTCTTTTTGAAAATAATGGTCTATAAATGTATGCGAAGGGCATTGGAAATCTCTTTAACAAAAAGAATAAAAAATCATCATAGAAAAATGACAAGATTTAAAACATGGTATATTTTCTGCAGGAAGTATGATGTGTTCTTTCTGTAATCCAGTAGACGTGATATGTGTTGCTAGATATGGGTTTGAAACCACAGAAGTGTACTACTAGTCAAGATCAAGGGTGTGGACTTACTATTCCAACAACAGGTAACACAGTAGAGCGCATTTGTACTCCAAAATACAAAAGACTTAGGAAAGTTACATTCATATTTGTAAAATTTTACCCAATTGTCTTCAGTGCCTTTTACTCTCACCCGTGTCTCTTACCCCAAGAGTCTTTTAGCCTCAGTGTCTTTTACCCCTCGTGTCTTTTACCCCTCGTGTCTTTTACCCCAGAGTCTTTTACTGTCAGTGTCTTTAACCCTTAGTGTCTTCTAGCCCCAGTGTCTTTTACCCCCGTGTCTTTTACCACAAATGTCTTTTACCCCTAGTGTCTTTTAGCCTCAGTGTCTTTTAACCCTAGTGTCTTTTACACCCAGCGCCTTTTACCGTTAGCGTCATTTAACCTGAGTATCTTTTACAGCAGTGTCTTTTACCCCAGTGAATTTTACCACACTGTCTTTTACCCCAGTGAATTTTACCACACTGTCTTTTACCCCAGTGAATTTTACCACACTGTCTTTTACCCCAGTAAATTTTACCACACTGTCTTTTACCCCAGTGAATTTTACCACACTGTCTTTTACCCCAGTGAATTTTACCACACTGTCTTTTACCCCAGTGAATTTTACCACACTGCCTTTTACCCCAGTGAATTTTACCACACTGTCTTTTACCCCAGTGAATTTTACCACACTGTCTTTTACCCCAGTGAATTTTACCACACTGTCTTTTACCCCAGTGAATTTTACCACACTGTCTTTTACCCCAGTGAATTTTACCACACTGTCTTTTGCCCCAGTGACGTATACCTTTACTGTCATTTACCCTCCAGTGTCTTTTATCCCCAGTGAATTTTACCCCGGTTTCTTTGACCTTCACTGTCCTTTACCCTCCAGTGTCTTTTAGCCCCAGTGTCTTTTACGCCATGTGTCTTTTAGCCCCAGTGTCTTTTACCCCAAGTGTCATTTACTCCAGTTTCTATTACCCCCAGTATCATTACACGCATCTTGAAACCACGACATGTGGTTGGGAGAACCACTGTGACACGTTTGATGGGTTTGTGGTGAATTTCTATCCATCAATGTGAGGCAAGTGAATGTTCTTGGTGTATTGAAATACATTATTGTTATAGATTAGTATTTAAATGTTTTACGTTAGTATTTAAGTTTTATAGGTTAGATTTGAAATGTAATAGGTTAGTATTTAAATGATCAACAAAGGAGATCCAACACATCCAGGTGACCTTAAATTACGGGTATGTTGTTGGTAGGATTGGCACCTTATCCGAGTTAGGCCAGGATGGTCAGGATGGTCAGGATGGTCAGGATGGTCAGGATGGTCAGGATGGTCAGGATGGTCAGGATGGTCAGGATGGTCAGGATGGTCAGGAAGGAGGTACAAAAAACAAATTTCAAAATGTATCACCAAGCTTGGCATGGAATGAAAAAAATGTTTAATCAAACCATTGGGGCAAGGATAGAATAACACCTGTTCTACAGACCATGATAGGAAACAATCGGTACTAGGGACTAAGATAGGAAACCATCGGTTCAAGGGACTAGGATAGGAAACCATCGGTACTTTGGACAGGATAGGAAACCATCGGTTCAAGGGACTAGGATAGGAAACCATCGGTACTTTGGACAGGATAGGAAACCATCAGTACTTTGGACAGGATAGGAAACCATCGGTACTTTGGACAGGATAGGAAACCATCGGTACTAGGGACTAGGATAGAAAACCTTCGGTACTAGGGACTAGTATAGGAAACCTTCGGTACTAAGGACTAGGATAGAAAACCATCGGTACTAGGGGCTAGGGTTGGAAACCATTGGTACTAGGGACTATGATAGGAAACCTTCGGTACTTGGGACTAGGATAGGAAACCTTCGGTACAAGGGACTAGGATAGGAAACATCGGTACTTTGGACAGGATAGGAAACCATCGGTACTAGGGACTAGGATAGAAAACCATCCGTATGAGGGACTAGAATAGGAAACCATCGGTACTAGGGACTAAGATAGGAAACCATCGGTTCAAGGGACTAGGATAGGAAACCATCGGTACTTTGGACAGGATAGGAAACCGTCGGTAATGGGGACTAGGATAGGAAACCTTCGGTACTAGTGACTAGGATAGGAAACCTTCGTTACTAGTGACTAGGATAGGAAACCTTCGGTACTAGGGACTAGGATAGAAAACCATCGGTACTAGGGACTATGATAGGAAACCTTCGGTAAAAGGGACTATGATAGAAAACCTTCGGTACTTGGGACTAGGATAGGAAACCATCGGTACTAGAGACTAGGATAGGAAACCATCGGTACTAGGGACTAGAAAAGGAAACCTTCGGTACTAGGGAATAGGATAGGAAACCTTCTGGACAGGAAATGAAACCATCGGTACTAGGAAGGTTAACATCGTTACTAGGATAATAATGCATCGGGGTTAGAATAAAATAAACCCATCGTGATTAGGATTGTAGACGTCGGGACTAGGGTTAAGAAATCAATACGGCCTCAATGTAACCATAGCAATAAATGCAAGACTGCGATTGTATCAGCGTGTCGTAGTCCAACGAATGAATGGGCTATTGGAGCATACGTTTCTGTTACTCACGTAGAACAACCGGGAAAGCGATGCGGGCGGATTTCAAGTACAGGCCCGGGCCACACCAGAGCATGTAGACTTTGGAAGCGTTGTACTTCGTCGAGGCCTTGATCTCCAAGTACGTCCTGATGTTGTCGCCGTCCATCCAACAAGCGCCCGCGACCATGCCCCGGTCCGGTCTGTCCTCGCCCCTCTTGCCGTCACACTTGGCCAGAACGATGAAGCCAATCTACGAACAACGGAATCAGAGCGATTGAGTGCTAGGAGTTGGAGAGGGGGTGGGTGGGAGGCGTGTTAACATTTTTGAGATCGTCCTGAACTCTGGTGATGCACGTACAAAAAACCAACTACAAACCAACAAGAACCTCGGCTTAAAACGTCACTATTATATAATCTGCTGCATGAGGGATGTTAAGTCTTCTTCTAACATCGGTATCAGTAATACCAATGAGGCCATCGACAAGAGTCCCTTCTTTACACGTTGCCCGTGTAAAAACTGTCTACCTCATACAGAAAGCGGCGGTCAGTAGAGCGATATTCTTCAAACCTACAAACATGGGGGGGGGGGGGGGGCGTTGCGAATTGTGCTCATTTCGTGATACCGCTGCAGTTTGTTGCGATTAGCTGAATGTTTGCATATCTTCCTAAAGGCGTTTGGCTTGCTTCTTTAGAGGGTTGTGGTGGTTTCATTAAGGTGTTTGGGTAGTCTCATATGATCGTTTTTAGCTTCCTTAAAGACTTGGGTTGTATGCTATGGGCATCGAGATGACTTCCCAAGGGCCTTATTGTATCATTCTAAAAGGAATGGAATGGCTCCCAAAGGGGTTTAGGGTCTCTTCCTCAAACGAATGGAATGGCTCCCAAAGGGCATTTGGGCATTAATGTCTCTTTCTCAAACGAATGATATGGCTCCCAAGTGACTTCCCATCTCATTCTTACATAGTAACCCTCTCATAGCTACACAATAAAAAAATCTCCTACTCATACAGTTAACGATCTCATTCTTGCGTAGTAACATCTCATACTTACATTGTAACCATCTCATACTTACATTGTAACCACCTCACTCTTACATTGTAACCATCTCACACTTACATTGTAAACATCTCACACTTACATTGTAACCATCTCCTACTTACATTGTAACCATCTCACACTTATATATTAAACAATCTCACACTTACATCGTAAACAATCTCATACTTACATAGTAAGTCATGTCGTGTATGGAGTCACCTTCACTGAAAAGTATGTACCTCCAGAAGATGGTGAGGTTGACACCTGTAGCCTTCAGGACGCTGGTGAAGTGCACGGTCTCCCCCTCCATGACGGCCTGGCGTGGTGCAGAGCACCGTGAGTGGTTGACCACCATGTTGAAGGCCAAAATTTCCTGCGTGCTCACACCTGGACAGGGGCATTTTCATTTAACAGTGAGGGAAAAAGAGTTTATTTATGTCATTGACCCATTAACTTCATTGATTCATTAATGTCATTGATTCATCAATGTCTTTGATTCATTAATGTCATTGACTCATTAATGTCATTGATTCATTAATGTTATTGATTCATTAATGCCATTTATTCATTAATGTCATTGATTCTTAATGTCATTGATGTCATTAGTGAAAATATTTACACAATTTATTCAAAATAAAACATTTTTAAGTTTCATATACATAGAGTGCTAATCCTTTGACTACAGACAGTGATAATCCTTTGACTACATACAGTACTAATCCTTTGACAATATACAGTGCTAATTCTTTGACTAAATCCAGTCCCTGATCCCCTTAGCGTTACGTAGAATATGTAAGGGTTCCTGGGATGTAGCATACCTGTAGCAGAGCTGAGGATGACCAAGGGGACAATGATAAGCACGTATTTCATGATGTCCCAGACTTCAGATTGATAGAATGTCTTGTATTCCAAATGTTACCATGAAAGTAAAAAATCTAAGGGAAACAAAATAAATGTAATATAAGACAATAGGGTTCTAATGGTTTGTGCTATTGGCAGGTCACATTGAAATCGGAAAATTTTGGTGAGCTCTACCAACCAGAATGTACAACCTGCTTTCTCGCTAAATCACAATTACAACAAGACTCAAGTAGCTGGCCAGGCAGACTCAAGTAGCTGGCCAGGCAGACTCAAGTAGCTGAACACGCAGACTCAAGTAGCTGGCCACGCAGATTCATGAAGCTCAAGTAGCTAGCCAAGAAAACTCATCTGGCTTGCCAGGCAGACAAACGTAGCTGGCCAGGCAGACTCATGAAGCTGACCAGGCAGACTCAAGATCCTGACCAGGCAGTCACATGCCTCACGTATCGTTCGAGCCCAAATAAAACGCACAGCAAGTAATAATAATAATAAAGTTTATTTGAAAGACACGCTTCATCCCCAAAAGCTCGAAGCGCGGTACAAAGTCAACCATATTAAAAAGAGAAATAAAGAAACAATCTAAAATGGACCACATTTAAAAAACAGACGTAACACTATAAAACTACATACGAGCACACACCGAGTCAAAGTCTTTCATCCCATTTCAACCATAAGAAACAAAAGCCTATATACATTAACTGGAAAAAGATGGTAGAAGCATCACCCCAGAAGGTGTTTGCGAAATAGATGTGTTTTTAAATCGGTTTTATAGGACTCTCAAGGCGAACACAGGGTATCGATATTTTGCCACTATCGGATGAGCGGAGCTGTCTAGTGGGTACATAAGGCGTCATGAGCGGTTTGAGATAAGATGGCGCCAGGTCATGTAAGCAGCGGTAGCACAAAGTTGCAATTTTGTACTCTTTGCGAGCGCGGACCGGCAGCCAGTGCAGCTCTCTCAGAAGTGTTTTAGCATGGTCGAATTTGCGTTTGCGAAGAACAATGCGAGCCGCATTATTCTATGCTCTTTGAATTTTATCCAGGAGTGTAGCTGGAAGACCCACCATGAGAGCTTTGCAATAGTCCATACGTGATAATACAAATGCAGACATCAGCCTCTTTGATGCATCTAACGTTAAGAAAGGTCTGATATGTTTAATCCTGCTCAGCTCTAGAAAAATCGCCTTGCAAAGCATGTTAATTTGATTTCCATTGTTAGTGTTCTGTCTAAATAGACACCCAGGTCTCGCACTGTATGAGCAAACTCAATCTGCATGCCAGAGAGAGTAAGTGACGTTGTGTTTTTTGTAACAGACTTTTGTTTCTGAGCAGTGGCAATGGGGATTAGCTCAGTCTTTTCATCATTCAATTTGAGCTTGTGTATGGTTATCCAGTAGTTAACTGACTACACTGTCTTTTGTGTCATACTAAGAAGTTGAGGGAACTGAGAAGGGATCACTGATTGATGAAGTTGTGTATCGTCCGCGAACAGGGGATACAGCATGTCAAACTGCTTGATCACTGCACCCAGTGGCTGGGCGTATATAGTGAAAAGCACCGGGCCTAGGACCGAGCCCTGGGGTATTCCATATTCAATTATAGATTGCTGCGAGGTCAAGCCGTTTGAAATATGACTGACTGGACCCGATGTGTCCTATACGAGTGAAACCATCTCAGGACGGTATCGGTGAGACCGAACGTTTTTTGCAGACGCTGGAGCAGTATGCCGTGGTCAAGCGTAACGAAAGTAATAGCGCATTCCTCTCTAATCCCTCCTAAATGCGGACAAGCGTTCCAGGCACCAATAGGACTGGCCAGCGAAGTGGTTGCTCTCCGTTGAATAGAACCTGGGCCACAGTCGCGTGCTACGAACTATTAACATAAATGGAATTATAAAGTTTTCGAAAACATAATCTTGTGAAATACTTATAGTAATATCATTGTAAAAAATGTGGATGCTTCTCTTGAAAAACAAACAAATAACTAATGTTCGACAGTTGAGATACATAAAATTTAAATGGTGTTTGGCAACCACAATGTAGGATGTATTCTTAATTTGAGTAAAGATGTAAGTGTAAGTCGAATCATTTTTTTTTTTTTTTGCGTAAACGTGTCGATAAATGTCGAAAATCTAGTATCACCATTGTACAGCCATCAAATTTTCATTGGGTTTCAGTTGTGCAGGTTGGTCCATGTCAGATGTTTCAAATTTTTGGGTCGCTGTGTTCAAGAATATTTTAGAAATTTGAAAATCGAATGAGTACTAATAGGAAAACGGATGTTATGATTTGTTTACAAATTTAAAAAAAAATAATAATCAACTATGTTGATGCTGTCTGGTGCTTGTTGGTTCCTAGTGCGCATTTCTCAAGTTGCGTAATCTTTTTTTTTTAAAATAATTTTCTACACCAAAACTTCGTTAATTAAATTAATTTAGACATTAACAGAAGCCTCAGATAGCTAAATATTTATTGGATTTATTTTTGTATTATTTTAATTTTCTGTAGACATTATTCTTTTATTATTATAAACAAAGTTTCTCCCGGATTTTAATTTCGAAATGTGAAGGAAAAAAAATGTACTTGCCATTGACAGGCGCTAGCAGTGACCAGGTCCCCGTTGACAGCTCTAAGAACAGATAGATTTGTGTGGGTGACTCTGGTGATCTGACCTATGATGTATTAGTGAGGGGGTATCTCTCGTATGGAAAGGAAGTGATTTGAACAAAATTGTATAAACCAAACGGGAAAAAGACTTGGCAGCTAGGTAAAATTGTGGATTTGGTTTATTCCATATGGAGACAACGTGTTATTCATTTATTCTTCATATAAGTCCTATATGTTGTGTTACTAGTAAACAGTATACAAGGAACTGCGATGTGGCAGTTCTTAAATAAATTTTCCTCGCGATCTTCAATTAATTTATTTTGTTTTTGTCATTGTTTTATTGTGGACTTATAAGAAGAAATCCATCGTAAGAGGCCGGGTGGTTTGGGGGGGGGGGGGGTGACACCAAGAGCTTAACCCAACGGCCGACATCAACCTGAACTACGTCACAGGTAATTATATAAATATTTTCAATTAATTTATTTTGTTTTTGTCATTGTTTTATTGTGGACTTATAAGAAGAAATCCATCGTAAGAGGCCGGGTGGTTTGGGGGGGGGGGGGATGACACCAAGAGCTTAACCCAACGGTCGACATCAACCTGAACTACGTCACAGGTAATTATATAAATATTACAAATATATTAATTACTAATACTTCGTTACTTGTAGACATGACTACGTAACGAATGCATGACAAGAGTTGTCTCCCAGTTCAAGACGGATAATTAACTTAACTCTTAATTTTTTTTATTTTTTTAAATACACCAACTTCAACGTTTGAATTGGGAAAAAAATGTCTCAAAATTTAGTATGCAACTTTTTATTGCTGAAAGAAAAAAACAGTTAAAATAAATTACAAACAAAACCTGCAAGTACATGTTTTGTCCGCCTCACAGATTTAGTGCCACTCTTCAATAAGTAATCAGTGACGTGCAGGGCCGGATTAAGCCATCTTCGTGCCCTAGGCACAAACCCACATGGGTGCCCCCCTACTGCCCCGGGCCCCCCGATCCTCCACTTACTGCTGGTAGGTTCAATATTATGCAAAAACTAACAAAGAAAAACAGTTGTGAAATGTAAACACGTATGTTTGTACTACTATCACTCATATAAAACCTACAATAAGGTATTTCTGTATTAAAATTAATAGTTAATTAATTTTGTCATAATAGTCGACAAAAATACTGTAACTTTTTTGATAGATAACAAAGTCAGAGAGACCACACATTTACATTTTAAAGTTCTTTTTTCTAGATTTACGACTGGCAAAGTTTTTGATTTTGCGCAAAAAGTCTTCCTCAATCTCCAGCAAAGATGAGGAATCAAGCTTTTCTTATTTCATTGTCGATCTTCTTGGATTTTTTGTACGTTTCAACAGAGAAAAAGACTTGTGGTGGCCCAAAATGCTTGGTGCCCTAGGCACGTGCCTTGTTGGCCAAATGGTTAATCCAGCACTGGTGCCTTGTGTTGGCCACTCGCTAGACATGCCTCTGATTACGCCACAAAATAACCTTGTTAGGTTTATAGATTAATAGACTACAATCGCATTATTTTTTTTTTTACTAATATTACATTTTTATTACATTCCACAGGGATGAATTGTGTGAATATCGTGTTCGATGGATTTGAGCCGAACGTTACGAATTGGCGAAATTGTTACACTATGACCACAGGCAAATTCGGAATGCTTCTGAGCAATCAGGAAACTTTAGACAATCTGCCGAGCCACTTTATAGTTCAATATAAATGTTCTGATTATCCTGGTAAAGAGACTTTCCATAGAAGAGGACGAGAAGATGGAGGATGGCTGTTGGGAAATAAAACGGATAGTGCACATTTATTGCTTGATAAGAAAATCAGTAACTTGATGAATTGATTTGAACTCAT